AGTTTTTAGACCCCTTAATTAACTAACCCTAATTAACCTGTTAAATAAGGCGTCGAGACCTTCTGAAAATCGTAATAAATAGATTTTAGGTCAAAAAATTACCCATAATATTTCAAACTGACCAGAATCTGACTCTTGACTTTAGATAAATAGGGCTTCCTAGTTTGACTCTAGGTTGACCCCTAATCTGACCATAGGTGGAATTTACCATTTTGCCCCTAATAATTCATTAAAAATTATTAAAAATCCCAAATTTTCTCCAAACACTTGAGAACACTTTCTATGGTCATTATTGAGCTTTGGGGGTGATTCCAATCAGTTTGGAGTTGATTTGGATCAAAACAATAAAATTAGCCATTTATTAGGAAATTTAGAAATTCCTTTAATTACCCTGAACTTAAAAAATCCATAACTAATTGTAAAAAATTCCAAATTAGGCAAACCCACTTGCATTAGACTCCAATTAGGGCCTACTATTTATTAAAAATCTTAGACTTCCAGAAAAGGGCATAGATTAGAAAGTCAACTTTTTGGTCAACCGTAGTTCATTTAGGGCCCAAAACTTAGGAAATTCATAACTTTTCCTAGAAAACTCCGATTTCAATGTACTACCTGGCTAACTACTCATCTTAAGATCTAGTAGTTTCCTAAGGTGTTATGGGATCCAAACCTAGGTTATTTCCTATAGCAACTTTTTGGACCCTTAGCCTAGTTCCTTGGAGGACCAGGGACTTTCTAAAATTGGCTAATATCTCTTGAACTTTAAATATCAGTATCCTAAGCTCTTAAAACTGATCAACAAACTGAAATAATTAAAATGGACCCTAATTCAATAATATTTGAATTTCAACTAAAATATCATTTTCAAACCCCCAACAAACCTGAACTCTAGATAACTTTAATTAACTAACTATCCTGCTTAGGACTTATCCAAACCACACACACACACATATAATTGTTTGCTAGGGCACCACTTCTAGATCTAGGTTAGGCCGCTAAGGTTTTATTTTTCTGCTGTGTGCCGGAGCTTTCCGTGGTTTTCACTGCATGCTATTTGAAAATGATTGGTGTGTTTGCTTACTTTTTCTGTACTCTGTGAATGATGTGATGAGTGCTAGATTTACCCCTAGATTATATATATATATATATATATACTATTCTTCCGTGCAGGTGGTCATGCTCAAGCTAATAAAATGGGGGAGCATTATCACGATTTCTAATAATGGTTTGTGCAGGTACTTGCTCAGCCCCCCTAAATAAAAATGAGGGCTAAATTAATAATTATAATTGCACAGGTGGATCGTTTAGCCCTCATAATTAAGAGCATGGCTTGGCACAGGGTCAATGGTTTGAGTTATTTTTATTTTCATATATAACTGCTTGGGAGTTTTATTAGGATAACCCTGCAGGTTCTTTAGATTTCTTTTCTGCTTCTCATTTGAATGTAATATTTGTAATAATCTGTTAAGAGTTGTGAAAACAACATCGAGTTGGGATATTCTTATCCAACTCGGATTCCAAAAGAAGAAGGCATCCCTAAAGGGGAGCGTCTTATTTCATCTGGAAGATCGAGTTGGATGGCTTTGGATATCCAAAGAGAAAAGGCAATACTCCCTAAAAGGGAGAATTGTCTCTTTGTTTAGATATTCAAGCCACGACGGATCCAAGAAGTCCAAGGAGGTGAGATTTAAGGAGTCCAAGGGGGTGAGATCCAAGGAGTCTAAGGAGGAGAGATCCAAAGAGTCCAAGGAGAAGACATCCAGAATGCTAAAGATTGAAGACCCAATATCCCACTCAAAGTTGTTGGCGTCTGTCATAGGCTTAGAAATCCGGGTTGTTGGCAGTGGTGCCCGGCCACTTTACTTTCTGCATATATGGGTTGTAATAAGGGAAGTTTGTCTATGACCATTTAGTTGATTATTCTGGATTTATATTGATGTGTTTACCTGATTGAGCAGTAGAATTACCTACTTTTTCTAGGTTTCTTTCTTGCATGCCATTTTTTCATTCGCCTGGATTTTCGTTAGGCTCTTTTAAGGATTACAAAATTTTTCTACTCATAACTAATCTTTAAAATTTTAAGTCTTAAATAACATAGAAACTTAACGAACCTAGGGAACTGTCGGAATCGTCCGGGGTCGCATGCATATTACTGCATTCTTCTTTCCTTGCTATAAGACATCTCCCTGCCTGCGGGTAGAGTCCGGATAATCTGGCCTATGAGGATGAAGTGCCGGACCTAGGGAGACATAGTCTTTTCAAAAAAAATTATTTTCTATAAGCTTGTTTTTAAAATTCTATAGCATTCATGTGCTGACATTTCAACTAGCATGCATTGCATTAGAAACAAATTTAATTAAAATTTAATTGCATTAGTTAGGAGCATTTACCCAACATAAGTCTAGGACCACTTAGGAAACTCTCTAGATGTCGGTCCTACTTCAAAAAACTGTACCTCCCACCCATCTTTCATTAATGACTTGATATTATAGTTTTAAAGCGATTAGGTGGTTAGCTGGCTCCCCAATCCAGGCCGGGATAAGTCCAGGTTTTGCATTGCATTAGCTAGGATATGGGTCTTAGTGTTGTATAGAACACTAAGCCCAATCTAGATCTAGGATTCGAGGCTACTACATTCGGTCTCATAGTATGTCTTAAATAATAGGTAGGTCCCTTCCTTTCAGGGACTATAAATCCTACTTATCCGCGTCACAGAATGACGCCACCTCCATCTCTTCTCTCACGCATGTGGTTGAGTGCTTGATTTTCTTTTCCCAGTTTCTCTCTAGTGCCCTAGAACCTCCGAATGCTGGTATGAGCCACGCATGTTGATTCATCCCTTCAGACTTTTCTTCCTTTTGGATAGGATTTCCTAGTCTATACCCATGTGCCAATCCCACTTTAGGAGGGGATAATGTATGATCCTTAATTGAGAGTTTTCTCGGGCTCCGGCCTGGGATGTAATTAACCACGGGGGCTTGCATCCGTGAGAAACTCGGTCCCACATCTACTAAACCCCATTCGAACTGTTGTATCGGATAGGGGAAACCTGTGATTAGGTCGTGTATATTACTACCCATCGGGGTGTGTTGGCGACAGCCTCTATCCTCAATGGTTAGTCGTATGCACGATCCAATCTGTCCCTTCCAACTGACCCGTTCGCGCGGTGTTCTTTCGGAGGTCCACACTTGACAGTAGTTTTAAGAACTTACATCTAACTAAATGTGCTATAATATAAGGGTTTCCATCTCAAACAAATTTATATTTGCCAATTTTTTTGCTCACAAACTCCATAAGCATGTCTCTAAAGTGTAATGGATGTACCATACTTCATTATTTGATTTTTTCACTTTAAATTGAGATGTCTTTTGTATGACATATGTATGTAACTTCAATTTCAATTCTGCTTTGCTCTCAAATTATCATTAACACCTAATTCAATAGAAGACAAACTCGAGCACAATATTAGGAAATCAACAGCCATTAAATTATAGGTACTTTCATGCACTAACCTTTATAGTATAAGAGTTATCTATGTACTCTTCATATCTTGAATTGTTAGTTGTGTTCCTAATATAGCAGAAGAATCATAAGATCTTAGCTATTTGTTAGTCTTGGAGTAATCACAAATTGAGATTGAATATCCAATATATACTTATGTTTTGAAGCATCTATTATGTTGCTCTCAACTGTAGCCTATACATCCAAAATATTATATTTTTTATTTATATGAAATGTCAACATCATCATCAATATTGTGAAAGATGGTAAATTCACTAATCTTCCATTAACCTCATTTGCATAAGGAACTATTTTTAATTTTTTTTGGGAGTAATGATCACAAATATGGGAGCATAATGTTTAATGAATAAGAAAATCTCATTGAAGAAAAAAATCAATTCCATCTTTCATAAGTAACTTAGTTGGAGGAATTGATGATGTTTCACCAAAGTGGTACATGAGCTACAATATATTTCTAATCAACATGTGTTATTTTGTATAGAAGATCAATTTGATCGTTAACAAAAATATTTATCAATATCTTTAATCATTTGCTCTATTTTCAGTTAATATATAACCATCTTCAATCTCTCCACATAATATAAGAATATTATTGCTTAATTTATCAATTGAAAATACTTCGTCAATATATGTTGAACATATTTTGAAATGAATTTTATCATATTTGATTATGTTAGAACATTATTTAAATAATTATCAAACCACAATAGAATCTATATAATCCATAATCATACTATATTCAAATGTATGATTATACTATATCAAACTAAGTTAAAATATCTATTTAGTTAAGATATGATTGTATCATACTCATCAGATGATGTATGAAAATGATTCAAATAAAGATAGAATGACATGACCTTTGATACATTAAACCATATTTAATCATGATCTGAATAAGACCCAATCGTAGTTCATGAACTTGTTTTAACAACGATCTAAACACACTCTTTAATACTCTATCTAGCTCTGAGTTAAATATGCATCAAAATGACCCAATGTACGATACATGATGAGAGCTCGAAAAAAATTTGCACACATACATAACGAAAAATTTATCATTTTCACGGTCATCATCACTCATTTGCAAAAAAAAATTGTAGAAAAATATGATGATGGGAACAATAGAGATAAGTGAAAGCATCATCTCTTCTATACAATGACATATGAATATAACAAGAGAATTTTCATCCAAATGAAATATTTGGATATATTTAAAAAAAATTGACATTTGAATCCATTTTATTGAACAGATTATGAAAGGCGTCTATATTTTGGGAAATTATTCTATGCGCACACCAGACAGATGAATCGTCTGGTTACGCTTGGTACCGAGCTCGGTATTGAGTAGTACCAAGTCAGTACCGAGCTCAATACTCAATATCGAGTGCGGCACATTTTTTGAATGATGTGACATATTTTTATTAATCTTTAAATCACATTTGGACTTCGCACCTAATAAAATTGCCCACATTTGGTGGATATTTCTTCTTAAGCTCACCTGATCGCTAGAGCTTCTGCTATCTTACCATCTGTTCGGGCGAAGCGTTGGGAATCGATCCTTTCGCGATGGTGAACGAAGAAGTCGGAAGCAAGCTTGTACGTCTTCTTTATTTCGTCGGGGCTGGAGGTATTGCCCCATACTTCTCGGTTCGATAACCCTCATAATTCGTCAATTCTTTTCCTTACTGCTTTACATTGCAACTAAATTAAAATCTTTCGTCTATTTTTATTTCTCCAGTGATCTGCACTAAGGGCATTAATCTTTGGAGGGATCATGAACAGAAGGCTGCTCTTAAAGCGACCGAAGCCGCATCTCCAGCGAAAACTGAGATGTTGAACGCCGTCGTTCCGAAATCTTGAACCCTGTTCAGAGCCTTTTGCATTCAAAGTCTTGTTCTTTCATACTTTTGTCTTCCATTTTGTGATAAATGTTTATGTATGACGAATCTGCAATTTTTTCTTGCTGAATATAATTGATAACCGATAATGGTTTAATTCAACTGATCATAATTCGAGGAGTTTAATTGATTAAGAATGGGCCTCCTTTCTATATATGTGATGATCATGATTTCTTATTCTTAGCTTTTATAATTAATGAAATTCTACATTATCTTCTACAAATAGTTTATATTTACTAATATTTCATATATTTTTTAGTGGGGTGCACTTATGGTGCAACGGTTAGGTTGTCGTCATAGTATCCTGGGAACATGACGCAGGAAAAATCCATATCCATTGATTGGATGAAGAATGCATGACCATGTCATCTATGCTCCACGTCAGTGCTCAATTATTCCATGAAAGGGATAGATCAACAAAGGGATGGGAGTATAAAGTATGACGGATTGCTACCATAAAGGTGGATTATGCTTCTTTCTTTGTTGGATTTATGGAAGGGAAATGGTTTTTGAAGCTATTGATCAAGAGAAATTAGGTAAAGAGAAATAGGTAGAGAGTAAGATAGGAGGAAGGAGGATGAGAAGAATTGTAAGGAGGGAAAGTATGGCCAGCTGACCAAAGGGAAGAGGAGAGTAGGTGAGAGGGAGAGAAGATGGAGAGAAGGAAAGAAATATATGGAGAAGAAAGGAGCTGCATGCATTCATATTTTCGTTCATTAATAATCCCAATGTAAGGAATCCTATTTATAGGAGGGATATAAACTATGTTGCACCGATACAGATACGGCGATATGGATACGACACGATACGGATACGGGACACGCCAATTCTTAAAAATACAGGATACGAATACGGCGTGGATACAACATTATAATATATAAATAATACATAAAAATTAAGAAAGTAATCAAAGTGTAATATTTGAAATGACAAAAAAATTGAAATAAAAGTAAGCATTAAATATTTAAATGTCTAGTACATCAACAAAAACAAGAAGATAAATTATCCAGCACATGAAATTTCAACTATTCAATAGAAGGAATGATAGGATTAGCTTCTTCAGTGGTTTGTCTTTGAGTTTCTATATCATCTTCAATAAATATCATAGCTTCTAATTCAGGCTCATCAAGTGAAAGATTAGCAATTTCTAATATTCCCATATCCTCAACCATCTATCAACCAAAGATTCTTGATCACCAAAATCCTCTAAATAACCAAAGAACTTTGCAAGTTCTATATTAATTTTTCTTCTCTCCTCCTCATTTGGAAAATATCTTTTCAAGCATATCTTTCTCATATTTGAAACTTCTAAATCTTTTTGTGGTGAGACACGTTGAGGGTCTTCTAGAAGCCATTCTTTACTTGAATACCTTCAAATAATACAAAACATATAAATTACATGTTCATTAACTAAGAAATTTAAATTAATTTAAAAGATGAATATGAATGTACCTTGGATTTAATGAATGAGCCAAACAATGCAAAGGTGTGTTGCTTTTGCTCCACCTATCCTCAAGAATGGTATAGACAACACTCCAAAAATTTGAGTCTTCATCATTTGACTTTCTTTCATGTCTGTAAATAATTTCTTTCACTTTTGCTAACATAGAATCCCACATCTCATAAATCAAATGTAGACATGATTTATCTGTGTCAGCCTCTCTCAACATATCATAGATTGGATCAGTGAAATCCAAAATGTAGTCTACATTATCCCACCACAAATCATCTAAGATCTTCTCTTTAACATACCTTGCCTTCCCAACATCATCTTCTCGATAGCAAGACCACTTCTCACTAATCACCATAGATTGAAGAGCATTTTTAATTTGCTTGAATCTTCTCAACATGATTATTACAGAGGCAAAATGAGTTTCAGCAACAGCTAACATTCTCAAGTGGGAGAAGTCATTAAACATTGAAAGTCTCATTGAATGGTTCATAATAAAATTTCTGATCAGAACAGCATCATCTGCAACCACTGTTATCCAATGACATTCAGCATAAATGATTTCATTTGCCTCTGTATTCTTTGCTGCACAAATATTTTTTAGTGCAAGATTTAAAGTGTGCACAACACAAGGTGTCCAGAATATATGGGGATAAGATTGCTCAACTAACAATCCTGCAGCTCTGCATACCGGTGCATTATCTGTAATAACCTGCACAATATTTGAAGGCCCAATCATGACTATCACCTCTTTAATCAAATTTGCAATAAAAAATTTATCCTTGTATTCTCCTTCACAATTCACAGCTTTAATAAACATAGGATAATTCTCTGTAATGGCCATAAAATTTATGAGTGGTCTTCTTTGAGGATCTGTCCAACCATCACACACCAAACTAACACCTTTTTCTTTCCAGACTCCTTTTGTTGGTTCAAGCAATGTCTCAATGTGTGCTCTTTCCCTTTCCAATAATTTTGATCTTAATGCATTGTAACCAGGTGGAACATATCCTGCAAGGTTATTGTTACATGCAAAACTGAATGCATTTTTATAGTAAGGATTTCTTGCAAGGTTGAAAGGTAAGCCCGCTGAAAAAAACATCCTTGCTATTTCACCATCCAACTCCTCTCTCTGCTGCAAGCTGAAAGCTTTCTCTAAAGGACTACTAGCAACTCCTTTTCTTTTCTTTGTTTGATAGCCTTCACTTCTGAATGATAAAGAATGATCAACTCTAACAGATGAGGAAGAAGCATGGGACGAACCATGGGTGGATGGCAAAGGTATCTCCTTAGGGAGTGCCCTTTTGATCCTACATTCAGCTTCATCAACTTGTCTGTTTATTTCAGTCAACTGCGAAGTAGTAATCTTGGGACACATTTTAATTCCATGGCCAGCTATCTTAAGTAGATGTGCTTTCACCCTAGAATATGATCCTTTGTAGGTTCCACCACAATAATTGCATTTGAATGAAACATTCCCTCCTCCTTCAAATGTTTTTCCTAACTTGGTAACATGAAGCCATAATGGCTTATCAGTTTCTACAGATTGTTCTTTTGAACCTTCGCCTAATGCACTCCCACCAGCCGTAGAGCTCATTTTGCTTTAAAATGCACTGGTAAAATGGAAGTAATAAATGCTTAAAAAATGTCTCAAACTCATTTCAATAAAAACATAAATCTCTCTCACAATAAAACCACTATTTCAAAATGCAAGAACAACCTACAAAACCAAAAGCAAAAGCAAGAAAAACATGTGGATTCATCCAATTCCTACAGCAAGAAAATCATGTTGTTATCTTTTAAGTTTCTTTAGCTTTAATTGCAATGCACATTTATTACAGAAGGTTTTGTTGTGTGACTTGTGTCCTTTCTAATTTCTAAGCAGTTAACACATTGTATTTCAAACATGTATTTTTTTTTAACATTAATGATGAGAACTTGAGAAGTCTCAGTACAATGAATAACTTGAGAAGTCTCATGTATTCTGGGATCAATCCTTCATGTGGTCAAAGCCAAAACGAGCTACTAATTTTGATGTTAAGAAATTATCCTAACATAAGTACATAACACTTATGATAAATGAACACATAAATATTTCTAACATAACACTTATGAATTCACGATTTCAGTTCTCTTTTGTATTGCTAAAAACTTAAACAAGATTGGGATTTAATTTAGGTAAAACAAGAATAATCGCATATCCTATAAACTAGGGTTTCATTTAGGGTTTTTTTCAAAACCCAAAACAATCAAAGTAATTTCAGAAAAAATTAACACGCTCTTGTGAACACAAATCTATATGATAAATGAGAAAAAAATTGAGAGAAATGACGAATGGCGAAAAAAATTCTAGGTCAAACTTACAGAGAAATGACGAATGACGAATGGCAGCAAAAAATTCTAGATCCGAAATCTGGATCGGCTGCTCGGGAAGGTCGGAAGAAGCCTGCTCGGGACGCTCGGAAGGTCGCCTGCTCGGGACGCTCGGACGGTCGGAAGCAGGAGGCGACGGTGCGGGCTGGAGCGTCGATCGGCTGCACGACTCCTCTGCTCGGGACGGCTGGAAGCTCGCGTGCTCGGGACGGCTGGAAGCTCCGCCTGCTCGGGACGGCAGCGACTCCTCTCGACGGGATTAGCGACTCCGCCTGCTCGGGACGATGGCTGCGCGATCTCGCTCGAATGAATTAACCGGATTAGGGTAAGGGCTTATTAGGTGTTCTTTTTGTTTTTTTTTTTTTTTTTTTTTTTTTTAATATGAAATAACCGGACACGCGTGTCCGGTTTAAATTTTTTTTTTTTAAACAGGACACATTTAGAACGTGTCGGACACGTGTCCGTGCCGTGTCGGGCGCGTGTCCGTGTCCGACACGTGTCCGACACTGCATTGCCTCTTAAAACGAAGTGTCGGTGCATCATAGGTTATAACTCTAGTGGCACCATGAATTCTTTATGGGCAAGCTCAAGAGGCATGCATAATTAACATGACTCATGAGGGGATAGTTATTTGTAGTAGATAGTTGTGCAAGCACAAAACATCGAATTTAGTTCAACAGTTTAACATAGAGAAGAGCTCTGAAGGAGGGCTGGAATCAATTGAAAGATGAGCGCAGCAAATTCAGTAGTTGAACGCAATGTTGTTGCAGAAATCAGCAGTTGAAGTTTAGCATCATTAGAAGTTATAACAAAACAAAGAGTCTGAGAGACAGCTAAAGAGCTGTTAATAAGTAGCAAATGCAATATGTCAAAGCAGTTATAATGATGGCATTGCAGTGACGGAACGGAAGCACTAATGCAGATATATGAATTAACGATGCAGGTGCAGTAATTGAATTAGAGATATTTTAGCGAACAAGAGTTAAAACGTCAGCTAAGCACAACAATACATCCAGTAGGATTTTTGCCATAAACCGACAACATAGACTGCAGTTCAATGAGAAAATTTCATTTAAATAATTGTTGGAAAACACAGCAGGTGACAGAGAACCGATATATCAGAAATCAAGCAATATATGGTAACAATTCAAACCTTGTAACATGGAATTTGATGAAACTGTTCCATAGCAAACAAAAGTCTTCCGTGTATTATATATTATCATAAATTTGGCACGTCTCATGAGCATGAACTTGATTTTTTTTTATTGCGGTGCTTAAAAAACAGTATTAATAAGCGTAGGAGCATTGAGAACCGCTTAAACTTAGGTTAAACATTAGCAGTAAAGAGAGTAAGCAGTAATCAAAACAGGCCAGCCATCGGATTTCAGCAGGCACTCTCAGCTTTTGGGAATAGAGTTGATTTCGGGCGTGTGATTTAAGATTTGAACAACTTTAGAATAGCATTTGAATGCAGAAATCAGGTATTGGAAACCAACATCTAGCAATAGACATCATTTTCGGTTGTGTGGAAATCAAATGCAGTGAGCAGGAACCAGAAAATAGGAAGCAATGGTGACAATCGAGCGAACACTTGATGTGTGCAATGATTAAACAATGAGATTGAAGCATAAATAAAAAGAAACCAAGAATCATAGTGATGTGGAATCAATTCTTGCAGAATGGTTCGCTCTAATACTAAATTGATTAGGACCAAGTTCATGAATTTGATGCGGAATACTTGAGCATGTCATCTATGCTCCATATTCTTAGTTAATTTCTCCACTGAAGGTAGTAATCTGAGATGGGAATTGTGGAGGGGGGGGGAGGGGAGGTTGGGTGTGTGCGGGTGTTTGCTAATCATAGGGATAGAGGGGAAGTTTCTCCACATAAAGGTTGAGATGTGCGAAGGGATGGGACTATGAGAGATTGCTATCTTAGAAGAGGAGGATTTTATGCGTGGGTGGGAGAGTAGAGTGGATTTTTCTTGCAACCTTACTGGATTTGGAGAAGGGAAATAAGTGGTTATGTTGTTGACGAAGTGAAATTTAAAGAAGAGGAAGAGGTAGAGACTAACAGAGGAGGGAGGAGGAGGATGAGAGCAATTAGAGGAGGAACAAAGAGCATGACCAGCTAACCAAAGGTAAAAGGAAATGGGAGGGGAAGGGAGGCTGAGAGGGACAACGAATTGAATGTATGATGCAAGTCCGATGCAACGAATTGAATGTATGATGCAAGTTAGATGACTAGATCATTGACCTTATTATAGCTTTTCTGCTTCAAGACCTAATATGAAAGATTCCAAGGGGAATGGTGGACAAAACTCTAATAGACCAATGGCCTTTTGATCATTCGAAACATTACTTAGAACATCGCTTAAGAAATCAAAAATAGACTTAAAGTTAACAATTCCCTTGTCACTTGCTTTCTATCATGGACTTATAATGAATTAAATCACATTCCCCTAAAGAAGAGGCAGCATCTGTGAAACTTTCCATGATGGAAAATTTGGAGAGCTAAAGGTAGGGACTAAGAGAGGCGGGAGGAGGATGAAAAAAAATAATAGAAAGGGAGGAAGAGCATGGCTAGTTGACCAAAGGGTTAAGAAAATGTTGGGGATGAAATTAAACACCGCGATAAAACAAACAAGAAAAATAAAAAAAAAAGCGGAAAGTAAAAAGACACCTGAATTTAATGTGAAAAAACACAAAATCGAGAAAAAATAATGGAGCCACACCACACCAAGAAATCAACTATGAAAATGGGGAGAAATAAGTACAGATCTCTCTCCTCTCTCGCTCTCTTCTTGCTTTTCTTCTATCTTACACCATTCTCATAGTTCTCACACTCTAAACAAAAGAGAAAGAATGTTAATTACAGCAAGGACGCAACCCTGCATAAAAACAAGAAAGAAAATTGTACAGTCCACCTCGCAGCTCTGCGGAACCAGTTTGTAGCGTTGTAGCGCTCAAACCTCTTTCACCATGGAGCTGCGATGCTCAAACCCTTAGCTTTGTGGCACTTTGCTCGCTATTCTACAGGGTCGGTGCGCTCGGGTGCACAACGTCGAGGCACTATACGAAAAACAAATTTTTACCCAAGAGCACTGAGCACCCAAACCCAAGAAGGGCGTAACCCCTCCAGCGAGCACGAAAAATTGAACTGAGGACCAATGCAACACTACAACTTGATTGGTCAATACAATCAGGTTCCACACCAAACTAATAGGAAAGAAGAGGAAGAGATAGAAATTTTAAAAGTAGAAAGGCGCTGCATTATATCTCCATTCATTAATAATCCCAATACATTATATGCAATTCTATATGTAGGAGGGCTCCAAATTATGAGGTATAATTATAGCCAATTAAAATATAAAATAATATTACATAAAGCATTATAAAATATCCTTAATATATAATTCATGCTTTTTTCATCAAAGGGTACACCATTTTTTATATCCTTGTACTTCTCAAGTCCTACTTGCTAGCATAATACGCCATCTTTTGAGCCCTTCAATATAAAGTTGAAGTTTTGAAGGACTTTTAATTATTTATTGCTATATTGCTGGAAATAATAAACTTCAAGTTTTGGGGTACTTTTCCTTGTTTGATGTTTATCTTTTATAAAAACTAATGAATACACTTGCCTCGTGCAATATTGGAGGTGCTCAATGCTAATTATTTGTTATGTGTCAGGTGGACATGAACTGATTATGGGAAGACAACTTTCTCTTGGTAGACTTATGGTAGAGTACATTCTTTTGTTTGATGCTTTTATAATTCAGCCAATTTATCAGTGTCTTCTAAAACTCACTATATGGTGTATCTTATGGTTTCTAAAACTCACTATGCAGTGTTGTTTTCCTAATCCCTATTCCCCTCTTTCTCATAAATTCTTCTTTAGGAAATCTAATTTTGTGTTATAATAGTACTCCGTGTAAGTTTATTTTATTAAAAGTAGATGGGTAAAATATTCGGATTTAAATACCTTGTGTCCCTATTAAATGTTTGTCGTAACTACTTCCATGTAGGATTTCAAGTAGTTGGGATAAGGCTAATATGATGATGGTGATGATCAAGAAAATCTACATGAATAATTCAAGTTTGGATCATCTACCCTATAGCAAATTTTATGCCTTTTTTTTGTGTGCTTAACTTCATCAGTTAATATCAAATTTTATGCTTCTAGGTCCGTAAAGGTAAGATCCTATGAGAAATGGTGGCCAAAATTCTAGTTGGTTAAGGACCTTTTGATAATTCAGGTCATTGTTTAGAACCCTGATTAGAAAGTTACACATGGTTTAAATGCTGATAACCGCTATTTACTTCCTTTCTCCAAATAATGAATTAAATCACAGTTCTATTCTTGCAAACATACTCCTCAGTTGTGTTTTATTAAACTCATTAGGACCGTCGAGTATGCACAACACTACTATTTTCGATTAGGATTATCAAATACCTAATCCTATTTGTTTTACTTTCTATCACGGCATTAGTGTTGGCTCCACAAGTGTTCTTTGCATTGGTTTTCTTACTTTATGGATTTCGTTTCACTGAGAATCTCTGCACTTACGTGCTGACCTCTAAATGACCTGCAATTCCATTTTTGGAAAAAGCTGAAGCTAGTTCCATGCGTCTAAAATTAGGTTGTATATTCAAAATTTCTTGATAAGGCTCAAGTGAAGTTCATAAAGCAAAGTTCAAATGATGAAAATCCTTGTAAATTAGAATTGTTTTTAAATGATAATTTTTTTTGTGTTATCTTCTTTTGATCCCACTCGTAGATTCAATTTGGCGCTCATGGAAATGAATTTATATGGTATCATGCCTCTTAATTGTAGAACTTCCATTGATATGCACTCAAGCCCAGAGATTTACCCATTGTTGCTTAGCTTCGTTGGTGGGTGAGTACAGTTGGGAATCCCTCAACCCGTGTTCGATTCCCCTTGCGCGGCATTGCTCTTAAGTGGGGCCCAATCAAATGCGGGCCAGGAGGTTTCTGGGGTGGGTGCCTCTTCTAGGTCAGCCGAGGATTAGTCCTGCCGTCAAGTGCCCTTTCGGGGTTTGCAGCAAGTGGATACCCCGTTCCAATAATAAAAAAAAAGCCCAGAGATTTTGTGCCAGAAACTAACTCCTGAAATTGAGTTTTATCTTTAAAGCAGAAATTCCAATAAATTTGAAAGACAGTTCTAAATTGGCTAAAGAATAACCTTATTATGCGAACAATTTTATATTCCATTGGATATATTAGATGGAATAGAATATCTTTGGCTTGCTGGTGTTTCTTTGAAATTGCTACCTTGTTAGATAATAAGAAGATATAGGATGAGCTTGGAGCGGTTCTTTCAGTTACTTCCATTATGGTTTGGAGTTCATAGGCTTGGGTCACGAAAGTGGCTTCTGTAAATGCAGTGATATGATTGCATGCACTAACTCCTCTCTTGACCCTATAGTAACTTCAGCTTCATGCATTGAGTTGACAGTGTAAGATTTTCGGCACGGGATTGAAAATATTTTTCATTTTGCTTATTCTGTTGTTATTCATTATGATTAGTATGGCTCTTATTAATCTTTGTTATTTTGAGTATGCCAGAGCCTATATTTTTAGTTTCTTATTCTGTTGTTATTCATTATGATTGGTATGGCTCTTATTAATCTTTGTTGTTTTGCCTAATAATAATTTTTAGTGGGATAAAGGCTTGATGTTGTTGTTGTTGATAAGCAAGAAAACTAGAAGGGTGAAGTTATTTTTTTTAGTACAAAACAATTTTTAAAGGGATTTAAATCTCATACCCCCATATGAGGAAACATCCTTGAATTGCAAGTGAATGTTGCATGATAGCACCTAACAAAATGATGTATTTTTTGGGCTTTTTTTACATCAATATCTATATTGTCCCCTAAGAATTAGTCACTTAAAATCTCCCTACTCAAAGAGCTTTATCATTTAAAATCTACCCCTATGATATAGTGATGAGTTGACGAGAGTTTATTCTGTGCGGAGTCTGTATATAGAGATGCATCCAGACTGCGCACGTTATAATTTCTATGAGTTGACAGGTATGAATCATTGCCTTGGAGTAGGCGGCAAGGATTTTTGGTCCATGAGATGTTCAAAATTGGCGCCCAAGAGTTGGTATTCAATAGCTAGTCAATAATAAAAATCAAAATAACATTTTAATTAAAAGTATTATCTTTTGGGGAAAATTAGGGGCATTGCCCAAAGTTTCTTTCATCAAAGCATAGTTACACGAGGCCAGGGGAATACACCCAACAAACAGGCATTGAATGTTGTCTCGTATAGTTCTATAATTTTCTTAGCCCGAGATTTTTAAATAAATAACTTGTCTGATGCTGCATGAGATTGAGATAAGGTTGTTAATATAATTCACGAATTTCTTCCCATTTCATTCATTCCAGATATCATAAATGCAACAACATATCGATAGATAATAAGCCTAATTGTCATTATGGGAGGTCCACTAATCTCACCAGTGAATTCAAAAACCTTATTAGAAAAGAGATGAAAGGAAGAACAAGGCATATGATATTGTAGGGGAAATCACATGGAATGAGGACAATCTACAAGCTCAACCGTCACTAGAACCTTGTCGGCAGTGAGATCTCCGGCCAACCGAAGCTAAAACCATTCCAAAGCCAATTCCCGATGATCAAGAGCTTGTTTAGTTGTGGATTAAATTAGGAACTTATACGAGGATAATCTACAACCTCAACCGTATCAAGATCCCAAAGATCCAACGGTAAAATCCTTCAAAAAAATCTTAGATTTAGGTCACAACACATAAAGCTAAATAACTTTCTTTAAGTTGCGTTTAAGGCCGCAAAAATAATATCCCACGAATGCTCTTTATTCATGGATTATGTGTTTAAAATTTAATCGATTTTAATCGATGCAATCGATCAAATGAGGCAAAAAATAGTTTAGGGTTTCGGGTTACGCCTTCGGAAGGTGTGGGACAATCTGGGTCGTTGATCTAGCAATCAACGGTAGTGGGCTAGTTGTTCATGCGGTCTCGTTTTAAGTCCGACGAGATCAGTGCCGTCTGTCCGAACAACGGGCGATTCGACTGTTAATATTAATCGCTAACATGGCTAATAAAACCTGCATTAGCGGCTTAATTATTGCCTGCGACTGCGGAACCAATCAGCGGACACCACGTAGCCTGCCACCCGTATTTAATTTAAAAAACGGTGTGGTAATTGTTTTTAGATCTTTTTTAATTCAGAATACTTTAGAAATTATTTAAAAATCTAAAAAATATATATTATATATCAAAATTTTCAGAATTTATTTTTTTTAATTTAAAATTAAAATTATTTTAAAATGTATTACACATTTCAAATAATTTAAAAAACTTTATTTCTTAATATTTAATTTATAATTTAATTTAACTATTTTATTGTAAAATAAAATTAAATTTAAGGTACATTATTTAAATAATTCAAATAATTTGAAAATTTTTAAAATTTATTTAATATTCAAATTTATATTAATTTAGATAACTTCAAAAAATTAAAAATATATTTTAAAATAGTTTAAATAAGTAAAACATTATTTTAAAAATAATTTAATTTGAACTTAAAATTTAATTTCTAATTATTTTAAAATATTTAAAAGTCCTTTTTAAATACTTTAAATTTCATAAATTCGTAATAAATTTATTTTAAATTAGATTTCGATGAATAATATCTCAATTTTTTTAAAAATATGTATTTTATTTTAAAATTAATTTTATATACTAAAACTTACTTTTTCTATGGTTATTTATTTATTATTTAATTATTTTAATTACTTAACTAGTGTTTAAATAATTAATATAATAATTACTTTGAAATTAAAATTATTTTTAAAACATTTTGAAACCTCGTTCGAGTGACCAGTGGATCTCCCATAAGTATGAACATTGAATTGTTTTGAACTATATTATTTTCTCAAATTTACTTATTTAGTATTTGTATTTTAAACTCTTTTTAAATTAGATATAGTTAAATTACACTAATTTTGAGGGATCCACTTTGTGGAATTTTAAACATAGGCTATGTATATGAATAACAATCATGGGGGAAGGATTAATGGGTGGTTGAGTTCTAATCATCAACTAATTGCATCGTAAAATGTGCTTAATTATTATTTTTATCATCTCTTGCATGTGTAGGATGTACAAGCACTTAGCTTAGGCCCTCCTAGATCTTTGGATTGATGTGTTTACTTTCTTTATACATTCCCTGCATGTTACTCCAAAGTTTAGCCTTAAACATTGAATTTTAAACTTACTTAACATAGCGACACTCTAAAGATAATAGTTAAGAACCTGTTTAGCCAACTTAAAAAACATTATAGGAGCTAGGGTAGAACCCCGATTTATATGAAATTTTAAAAAATAAATTTAGTGACATCCTAAACCTCTTAGAATTTTCTAGGAATTTGTAGGAGCCTTTAACCCCCTTAGTTAACAAACCCTAATTTAACTTTTAATTAAGCCATGATAACTTCAAAAAATAGTAATAAATCCATTTCAGCTAAGTAAATTGCCCATAATACCTAAAACTCTTCATAATTTAATCTTTAACCTCAGATAATTTGGGCCCCTTAATTGGACTTCATGTGAGCCTTAATTTAATTTTAAATAGAAATCACCTTTTTCATTAAATTAAATTATTAAAAAATTCAAAATTTCTCCAAACACTTGGAAACACTTCTTTAGGTTATTTCTGACCATTGGGAGTGATTCCAATAAGTTTGGAGTTGATTTGGATCAAAACCCCTAAAATACCTCTTATTAAATAATTTTAATAACTTAATAATTGTCCAATCTTTAAAAATTTAAAATTAATTATAGAAAATTTAAAATTGGGAAAACTAAAAGGCATTCAACTCAAATTAAAGTCTAGTATTTATTAAAAATGTTATATTTCTAGAAACTAACCTAAATAAAAAATTCAACTCTTCGGTCAACCGTAGTTCGTTGACTAGGGCTCGAAACTTATAAAATTCATAACTTCACATAGAAAATGCCAAATCTAACAAATTCAAAGCCTAACAGCTCCCCTTAAGGTCTAAGATTTAATCAAAAGGCTAGAGTCTCAAAATCTAGCCTGTTTTCAATAGTGACATTTTGGACCCCCCTTAACCTAGTAGATAAGTGGACCCTGGACCTCCTAAAACTTGCTAATGCAATTTAAACTTTGAAGATTACTATCCAAAGCATTAAAACTGATCCATAAATAAAATTAACTAAAAATGGAACCCAATTCATTAATACTTTTTTTTTAAACCCAGTTCATTAATACTTAAACATTAATAAAATCTTCCCCTTTTTGGCCTTCAACAAACTCGAATGTAAAACAATTTGAACTAATTACCCTACACATGATCTATCTAAAGCCACACAAGCCTACTACATACACAGATTTTCTAGGGCACCACTTCTAGCTTTAAGATTAGGGTAGGTGTTTTACTTTTTTTGTTTCTATGATGTGATGTAATTGAGTTTGACACGAGTGCTGCTTGACTTGATTGCTCTAGTTTGTTATGTTGATTATTTATTTCATTGCTTTACTTTCTTTCTGTGATGTAATTTATGTGATAGATTACCCATGGGCTAGGGGCACTTTTTCTACTAATTCAATCTTATGTAGGTTGTCACGCTCATACATTGCTAAAATAAAGGGGGAGAAATAAAGCAATGAGTTGTTTTACTTTTCTAAAGAGAGTGGCCAAGTGTTTACTTTTCTACAAAAATATCAGCTGCTTGGGTTATTTTATATTTAATTGCTTGAGTTGTTTTATTAGGATAACCATGCAATAAAATATAGATTTTCTATCTTTAAATGTAATATAATTTGTAATGTATTGAATTATGAAAGTCTTTTAAAACCGAGGCATTTCAACACTCGATACTCAAAGAGAAAAAGAAATGCCCTTTATAAGAAATTTCTTATTCATTTAGGTACCATTCTAGAGGATGAACCATAAGAAGCCTGGGAGACGATCCAAAGGAAGGTGATCGAAAAGGAAGGTGAACCACTTGAAGGTGTTCCAATTGAAGAAGAAGACTCGAAGATGAAATGAATGGCTTTTAAGACTTGCGTCATTTAGTAGGATTAGAATCCAAGTTGTTGTTGGTAAGGTCTAGCCACCATTAATTTTCTGCAAACCTTGAGTTATACTTATACAAAACTTGCCGTGGACTTTGAACTTTTATAGGTTTTATGGATTTATATTGATATTTTTATTTTGATTGTGTAGTACAAATTATATGTTTTTTTAGGTTTCTTTCCTACATATGCTTGGCCTGATTTGCGCTAAGCTCTATAGGATAAAAACTTTTTCTACTCATAATTAATATTCAAAATTTTAAGGTTTAAATAACATAGAAATCTAACAACTTAGAGAATAGCTAGATTGTCTGGGGTCACATGCATATTATTGTATTTTTCTCTCTCCTTCTAATAAGACACTTCCCTACCTGCGGGTAGAGTCTGGATAATCTGACCTATGAGAATA